TTTTGGTGCACTGTATCCGTCAGCTCGAAAATGAAAAGATAGGTCGCCTTCCTGCGGTTGCGGTCTTGCCGCACTAATTTTATTGTTGCGGTGTGCACCTGCACCGCAACGCCCTTTACCGTAATCTAATGCAGAGCGCTCTCCGGACAGTGGGAGGGGCTGCACTTTTGTAAAGCGGCAAGCCGCTGGCAGTCAGCTGACCTGCAGCGCCCCGAAGTGGTGAATCTGGCCGGCGAGAGCTCTGCCAATCGCCGCTTAACTGCTTTGCCTACTACTACGAGAATAAATAGCTTGATCGAATTCCCTTGTTAGAAGGAAGAAGAGGAAGGGCCGCTACATTTATAGTGTGTTGCGGCGAAGGTGCAGTGGTGGCATGTGGCACGCTTCCCACACTCGTGGTCAAGAGGCCAGATCCTCCTCCGCCCATTTTCCCTCCTCCATTTCAATAACTTGCAGGGGCCAGCTGTACGAGTCAGTCGCTTCATTGCCCTAGGGGCACCATTTCAGCAGCTAAGGAGACTAGAAATTCTCGGAGGATAGAAAGCTGGTTGGCTCGAGCTGGAGCAGATCCCCGGATTGGCTACAGGACTGCGCGCATGTAAGCGGACGGTTGTCATCACAACACATCCATCCACCAGGAGAACACCAATTCTTATGACCTTATGACTGAGAGGAAACTGGAGGTAAGAATTCATATCATTTATTGAAATTCATGTCAATCAGACTGTAAACATAATTCTCGCATTCAAACAAAGTTCATAATTGGAAAAAGGTTCATAAAGTCTTCAACCAAACACATACAATTTTCAATAGATTTCAACAAGAGGAAACAAATTGAATGACGTGATGGTGAAGGTATTTTAAGGAGTTGTACGGATTTATTTCATAACACAACAGCCTTATTACTTCTTAGCAACATTGATGAACCAAAAAATGTTAACAATTAAAGCCGAGAGATACACACATGGAGGAGAAGTACTCGTTTTAGGTGAAGACAAGTTGAGAGAGTTAGAAGATCTGAATACGGTGATTCTCTCGATCACTGGCGACGATGCCTCCATCGAACACGCAAAGGGCTTCGACACCCTTCAGTTGACCGGCACCTCCACCCCACGAGCCAAACGTGCAGATGAATTCGCCTTCGGACGAGAACACCTGCAATTGACATCAGTGATCGATAGCTCAACTGAACGAAGGTAATTCAGTACATTCGAGGTGATGCATTCGAAGCCTTGATATGACGAGTGAGCCAGCAGTTTCCTAGCTAGTTGACTTAAAATAGTGCTTTGGTTCGAAACCAGTCAGGCCAGGGCACATGATTTTCCCCAGTAGGAGGGGGTCTTATCCGATCGTTGGAGAAGGAGGGGGTCGCAATTGACCTGAGCAAAAATTTTTGATAGTATATTTTTCTTGGTCCCCTCCTCCCGCTCAGCATTTCAATCATGTCAGATGAGGGAGCCAGGAAACTAGGAAAGTCGTACCAAGTTACCCCCTAGGGGTATAGAACAGATAAAAATCCCCCCAATGATGTGCCCTGATCACATCAAAGCTACCAGTGCAAATGCCGGACGGGCAAATTCTGGCAAAATACGACCCCCTCCCAAAATTTCCCCTCTTTGAGACCCCTTTTCAGCGATCAAATATGATCCCCTCGCTGAGGATCCCCAGCATACGACGTGCTCTAATGTCTTATCCCATTAAGGTCAAAGTCTCTCAAGATGTCAACCGATAGACTGCTTACTTTTCTTCCAAGCTTTGAGTACCAAGCAAAGTTAAACATTGGCCTCAAACTTGGTTCTAAAGGTCTAGTCGACGTCCTTACTCTTGTCCATGAGCCCGAAGATTAGACACGAGCACAGTCAGAACTGCATAATCTTTTGAGACAAGCGCGTGCAGCCCCTTCATCCCTCCCTCCCCCTCAACGCCGTTATAAGTCGGCACCCATCATCAACGGTTTTAATTACAGAAAGGTGATTCAGTAGACCTCAACATTTTGGAAAGAAACAAACACTTTCTATAATTGAGTCCTTCGAAATATTGCCGTTAAATTAATAGTGGAAGAAGTAAGCTACCAGAACCTTTTGATATGACGCCTAAGTGCTCCAGTCATGTCGCCTGCAAACGATAGGGCGTATGAGCGGCGCGGGTAGCATTGCAGCCAGGAGGTGCCCTTTTCCACTACCGATGCCATACCGAGCCTGCTATAGCCGATGGGTGATCTGCTCTGGCTGTTCTTCAAGCTGTACCCCTCAAACCCCCTATCGTTTGCAGAGGGGTGTGTAGCAACAGAATCGTCCGGGCAGCTGGTGGGCGTGGCCTGCGACATACTTGCGGCGAGAAGACGAAGCGTGCTTCTGGCGGTTTGAATAGGGTTATTGAAGGGAAGGTAAATATTGATATCACCCAGTCGAGTCTTGTGTTCAGTTACGGTTAAGTTTTCAGTTAGAGTATGAAAAAGTTCAATAGAGCACGAAATTCATTGGGGTCTTTAACATTTGCTCTGGTTTGTCATCTTTTACAGCAGCTCACAGAAAAACTTGGCCATCCGTCTATTATATTGACGCTGGCGACTGCGCAAATCATGTGAACCACATAAACATAGGGATCACGGCCTTATCTGATTTCTTTTGTATCTGTTTATTTCCTGAAGTTGCGTTTATGGAACCGCCAAACAATTGTGTGTTACTATCAAGAAAAACATCATTAGATTTTCAATCATTGATGAAACCTGCTAAATGTTGCGGATGTACGCTGTAGTAAATCATTTGCTCCAGTCGCAAAGCTATCGGCTAGCAAATGCACAGTGAGCTGCTGAGTCATTCGCCGCGCGACGCGCCGCGTGCAGCGGGCGCTGCCCCGGTTGCACATCTCCCTTTGCAGAGATCATCACTGCGGGTTGAGTCAGCTGGCAGCAGCACTGACTGGTTCGCGTGCGATGCCGCACACTGAACGCCAGAAGGAACAGCAATACAGTGAAGGCTACCCACCTGGATACGATTATTCCCTGAGTCTGCGACCAGGATATTGCTCTGAAACGATTGAAGCTTCATGAGAGAAACAGCACAGATTAAGTGACACGTACCTGTGAATCTACTGTAACACCACGAGGAAATTTAAACTGTCCACCGTGAAACCCTTCGGATCCGAACGAGAACAAGAACATTCCTTGAACGTCAAACACACAAATTCGATGGTTCGACGAATCCGAGACGTAGACCTGGATCAGATGACTTGAACCCCGTCCCCACTACTAGTACAATACCATGCAGGAGTTAGACGTCATAAAGATTTCGAAAAGTGGAAGAGGGCACGGTTAGGTTGGTCAAAGAAAGGAGAATACAGAGTTATCTATAGACCCCATGCGATTCGCAAGTTTAGAAAAAGGCATCCGGAAACCGGAGCTCTCGATCTCAAGAGTTCGGGGAATCCCTTCTATTCTAACAGCGCTCTGTTGAACTCCGTCACCTTACCTGATGGTTAGCATTATTCACAGCAATAAATAACGGATTGTGCAATTGCCCTGGTCCGTGTCCATTCGTGCCGAATTTTCCCACGAACAATCCATTTTTGTCAAACATTTGCACCCGATGATTATCCTTAACAAGATTCATTGATGAGTGCGCTCAGCCTCGACCATTGGTGATCGAGATCCTACCTTGTCGGCAACGTAGATGGTTCCCAGCTCGTCGACAGCCACGCCCCATGGATTGTTAAATTTCCCATTGGACTGCCCATGACCACCGAACGAATTCAGGTACGTTCCATCATTGTCGAAGATGCATACCCGATGATTGTATCGATCGGATACAATCAGTTTATTTTTGAAAGTGGCAATACCGGCTGCTGGAGTCAAGTTGGCCACGTCCAGAGCCATAGCCGCCAAACTGCCGCAAAAACTTGCCTTCTCGATCAAACACACAAACCCGATGGTTACTCGAATCGCATACGGCCAATGTCCCACCTCGTAGGGCACATACTCCTCTAGGCCAATTCAATTCGCCCTCTTTAGCACCCTTACGACCAAAAATCACGCGAGGGCAACCGCGTGATCTCCACTCACTCAGTTCTCGTGATGCACTTCGCCGACGAATATTTCTTCGTTCTTCTTCAGTGCTCGTCGAACTATCTAAACGGGAATCTCTCTCTTGAAGTAACTGCTGTACACGCTGTGAGCAGAATTGGGACGCAAGGTCAGGGTTAGTTCGAGATCGCTGAAAGCGTTGTCGTCTTCTGGCGAGCCATGCAGGTATCTCGGGCTCACCTGTGAAATGTGTGACTGGAATCGGTACACCTGGAGGGACGCTGCCGGCTGTAGCTATCGGAGGTTCCTCTTCGCGGGTAGTACTTGCTGCACGGCACACGATTCGGATACGTTGCTTGGGTCGAGATGCCTCTTCGGCCTCAGAATCGTCGCTGGAAGCAGCTAGAGATGCAGCTTGACGTTCTGCATGAGCCCTTCGAATCACCTCAACCTTCTCATTGAGCGACTCGTCGTTGCTTGAGGCCTGTCTGGGTAGTGGCGGCCTTCTGGCAGCGACTCGAGTCTCCTCGTTCTCTTCCTTCGCTGGCTCAGTTGCTCTGATTACTGGAGCAGGACTCGGCGGTGGTTTCGGTGATCTCGGAGCGGGACTTACATCACTTCTAGGGTGTATTGTTGGTCTCGGAACATTTAAGGGAGTGGGTTTCGAGGCCTGTTTCTGCTCGACTTGCCGCACGGGTGGTGCCTGCAATAAAATATTAACAATCTAAATGATTGCAACGTACATGGCTACAATAGGTACTTCACCTCCTTTTTAGGAGCAGGTGTAGGAGTAGGAGTGCTGTCAGGAGCCGGTGTGGCATTGAGAGATGACGCTTCAGGAGGTCTTGACCAAGGACTTCGAGCGACCAGTGAACCTTCACGATCTGCCGGAGTACCCGATGATGTACCATTTCGCTCGCTTCTCTCCATAGCAGCACTTGTACCACGAAGACGATTCCATGCCTCCTCTTCTAACTGTTGACGACGACGATACCGAAGAGAACTTTCATCCATGTCGCGAATACTGAAAACATTAGCGTTGAGCTTTAGATGGTCAACTGATTAGGCTATCTATTTCTATTTTCTATTCTATGGTGTAAAATACCGTTTTGAGTCGTCTGTGTTGATTCCGCTTGTAATAATATACTGCCTCGAACTAAATCTAATACCTTTGCTATGGACTACTATCTGCTTTTCCTACAACCCGAATTCGATCTTTACTCAGACTAACATATGACTTTATTACATGTGACAGGTATATGGAACAACCTTTCGAACAGCTGATGCTCAGGCGTCATCGTGAGCCTACTCAATGGGTATTTAGATTTATCTAGAATTCTGAATCTAATGGTACAGAACGCAATAATAGCGTGGGTGAAAGCAGTGTTACGACTCCATACTCCACGAGAAAGGGAGGCGCACCAATGACGAAGTAGAGTAGTGAGCCATACTCCGCCCATATGATCAGGGGGACAGTCCTTCCAAGTATAACGCATGGTGGAACGCTTCACTAAACCATCGATGTGGATCACCTCACTATTTACCTGTTCCAAGCCACAGCAATTGGGTAAAGTCAATTATAAGAGTGTTTTTTTCCACAAAAGCTTTGCAGCCTTTTCCGTGCATGGCCCAAGCCTTGCCGATCGTTTAATTGAGAAATCAGAATTCTACTCGAAAACCCCATTTTCGCCGCTCACTTTAATGCCCACTTCTCCCTATAGTAGATAACGTAGCAATCAGTCGGGCCGTGTGTCGTGAGGGGCGGAGTTACTTCAGGCTGCTTTGAACTGCCAATGGTGATCGGTCAGGGCTCGATTTAGGAAGAAAGCAACCAGTGGTGCGAACATCACGGATAAACTGATTTCCGTCCCTGTTGAAACCGCCTAGGTTGATTGCGACGACATCAACTGTATATCAAAGAAGTATCAATCACTTGTGGGGGAGGTATAAGGACGCGTTCAGACTCGCAACGACAGCGCTTCGGTCGCGCGTTCGGCGATCGATGCAGTCGAAAGCATGCGCATCGATCGTCAAATCGCGCGACTGGAGCGCTGCCGTCGCGAAGTCTGAACGCTGCTTATTACCTCAGGAAGTGCTCAGGTGGCAACATCCAAGAGATGGGCAGAAAAAAAAATCATAATTCTACTCGAAAACCCCAATTTACTGCTTACTTTACTGTCCATTTCTCCGTATAGTAGATGACGTCGCAATCAGTGAGGGCGATGTCATTAGGGGCGGAGCGAGCTCACGTCAGGCTGCCTTGCTTTGCCTATGGTGATTGGTCAGCGATCGCTTCACAAAGGAAGCAACCAGTGGTGCAAAGTCACGTATGAGCTGATTTCCGTCCCTCTAGAAACCGCCTCGGCTTATCGTGACGATATCAGCGGTATATAAAAGCAGTATTGGCCACTTATGGAGGAAGTATAATACTTTAGGAAGTGCTCAGTTGGCCACATTCAGAGCTGGACAGATTTCCAAAGGATTTCTAGATTTCCAAAAGAATGTATTTAGCAAGACAAGATGAGAAAAGGCAGACAAAGTGAAGTCGCTACTGCTTCAATATAGTAAGGGAAAATGGAAGGATACGCGCTACCTGATCGCACAGTACGGTACCTGGGTACCTTCTGTTCTCCGCTACTCTCTCAAATCACTATTTTCCTGGAACTGATGTCGTTTGGAAGCACTCAGTTTCGGGCTCACGGTACTTATGAAGTGTTGTGACTGTCATTACGCGAAACTCTCCTTACTTCCCTTCCCCATCCCCTAACGCTGAGGATGAGCCTGGTAGAATAAGTGATTTCCGTCCTTCTAGGCTTAGCCCTAGCAGACACAGATGATCGTAGTGTTCTCCATTAGCACCAGCGCCAAGAATGAATGTCATATTCGTAATCAGGATGTTAAATAACCCCTGTATACAAGTTTTCAGCGGATTTGGTGATCTAGCACTTCATAAATGAGCCAGCAACCAAATCTGAGTGCGTCCGAACGGCGTCAATTTATCTTTGCAATGGTTGCGCGTCGACACGCGTCTTCGCAAAATCTGAACGCTGCCTACTTTGTAAACTAGTATTTATCCTTCACAAAAAATAAAACAACTCAAACAACAACTCTCCAAGTGAATTATATATGGCTCCTTCGAACGATTTCCTCCACTCACATTCACATTAAAGTGTCACCTTTGAGCAATTGTCAGTGAACTTCTTCAACAGATATGCTACTCACGTGAGCCTTGATGAGGGACGATCGCGGTCGTTGGCACGCGAATCCTCGTGACCATGACGCGAACGATGCTGATCGCTTTCTAGTGTTAGACGGAAAGGACGAGGCAGGTACGATTGTTCCAGAGGGAAGATATCTGAAAGTGCTTTTTGACATGTGTTCAAACGCTTATGTACTAACTCAATGAATCATTTCGTGACCCAGTTCAGTGGTTTTCTTCGACTCAACCCAAACCCTCTCGTGCTCACCGGATGTCATTTTTAAAAGATTAAATTTGACAAGATTAACAAGGAAAAGTTGATGGTGGACTAAGGAGGAAATCCCATCCGTATTCTTAGCTAGAAATGTAGTGCTATAATAGGAGGTCTGGACCTTGACCAAGTACAACAACCTGGTCGTTAATCCACTGTTAAACTGTTCATTCTATGTTCGGACGCATTCCTTGGACATGGCTGTTCTCTCTGCAAGTATAGAGGATGTACTGCTTTCGTAGTTCAAAAATACGCGGTTGAAGCACGACCCGCTCGTGGCGAGGCCACTGCCACGCCCACTAGCCACGGCAACGTTCTACTTTCATTTCTAGAGGTTCCCTGGTGGTGCACTTGTTCCGCTGCTAAGTCTTGATCATCATTTTGAATGATCAGAGTGAGGTGATAAGATAACACCAACAAGTGAGAACTCGTCCGACCACTGCCGTTCTTCGACCTTACGCATGTACAGGGACACTTTAGCATCGGGTGCTATATGAGACATTTCAAGCGGGGTTTTCTGCTTTCTTTCTTCTCTTTTAAGTTACTTACATTTCCGGGGAGCACTGATGACCGTAATACCCACGTCATTCAATTGTAAATTGGAGGAATGGGATTACTGGAGAAATAATCATAGTCCCTCTCCACCCTAGGGGCAGCATTAAGAGCAAGCTGTGCGTAACTTTTGGCCATAATTCTATTGGTGATTGCATTAATGGTGTGTTTGGCGCCGTGTCTCGCACGCCTTCCATTGGTTCATTTTGAACCAACCCTCTAAAGAGGATCCCTTATGAAGATCTCTCTGAGAGATTCTCGCTCTAAATAAAATCGTCTGGACATTATTAACCAATCTTACACGAAATTGCAGGGGAAATCGCGGCGAAGCCTCTCACTTCTTTCACAAACTTTGTAGGTGAAGAATCTGTTACTAGGTTCAAACAAGTACATACAGTTTGCTCAAAGTGAATACAAGGTATAGTAAGGACTCATACAATACTTGCGGCCCGCGGTTCCAACAGGACCATCACCGTTGTGAAAAGTCGGCTTTGTCACGCGACTAGAAAGTATAATGTCTATTGGCGCGTCTGTAGGCTAGCGGATATAGGTAATCGATCTTAGCGATCATACCAACGTTCCACCGGCGCCCCACGGGGAAGGCATGTGATGTAGGAGGGTAGTAAACAGCTGGTCATTAGGGTGTCAAATTGGGGTGCTATCGCACTGACGCACCCTTACAGTATGCACATGCTTTGTGTCAGTCGCTGCGTGGCGGTTGCACACCCCGCAACTCAACGACGCCAATTCAGCTGCTTTGCTACACTCTTACCTTCTCAAGCTCTCTATCTTCCGCGATCGCTCTGGCAGACGCTAGATCGATACTTATACTTCCCTAGCCCTCGAGAAGCTGGCAGGCGCTGGTGAACGCTGGCAGACGCTAGATCGATACCTGTGCTTTCCTGGTGGCTGAGCTGCCAGGTGCCCGGAACGCTTGGTAGACGCTGATGGACGCTACCGCAAAGAATGAACGCAGCCTTACAGCGATCAGCAAGTTGAGATGAATCAGTCAGTCTCATCGACAAATACATGTGTTAATGTGTACTATAGGCTCGAATTTACCTTTTTATCGTAGTAGTATAGATTTATTCTGCGGGCTAGCATGTGCATCCGTGTAATTTGATGGTCGTTCCGCTTTATACGTTGCACGCTTTACAACAGACTAACATAAGCCCTTAGTCACATCGTAGCGCAATCTCCAGTAATAGGCCTTCCTCACAATATCAATGTTCTTATGGCCCTGAGAAGGTGTAACCAACATCTTCACCAAATCGAAAGACCACTCCACTCTTTGTCTGAGCGAAAGTGAAATTTAGTAATTTTGTGTGCTGGGATGGAGTGCCGGATAAAAGAGGAACGTACAGATTGGGGTAGGGGGGGGTAGGAGAGGGTGAAAATCCTGGTGTATTTCGATGGCATTCGCAAATTAACATCAGAAATCACTCTTAACCACTGAAATACCTTACAGCAGATATGGAAAAATTGACCTGTTTCCGAAACGATCTCTCACAATCAGATGTTGAACGAGCGTCTGCTTGTGGGATCGTTCGAGATATATATTTTTCAGATTCCAAAAGGGGAGGAATACTGAAGAAACACTTTCCTATTTCCGCTTTCAAAGAGAGGCATTCATAAAGCCTGAGGTGAAGTCACCACACCGGGTGCGACATCTTGTTTTTGCCGAAGCGAGCGTTAAAGGTACGGTCCGCGATCAGGTATAGAGGGTGGGAATATGGCGTGGCGTGTTCCCCGACGAAGAACGTTGTACCGGTTTTGCGGCAAAAATCGTAATGGAGAGGGACTAGCGCAATATATTTCAGGTGACGTATCCTTTTCTCCAGTGTCTCCGCCTTCAAGGCACGCCTTCTAGCGAAAATAAGCTGCAAGACGAGAGAAGCATGAAAATGAGAGCGCCATCGTCACTGTAAGCTCGTAGGGCCCTTATCAGGGATTCAGTTTTGCGGATTAGGGCGTGGTGTTGGAAATGTAGCTAATTGGGCGAATACGTATGAATTGAGACCGGGATGGGTTCTATGTTTTTTCAGCTTTCGTCTTCACTATCGAGCTACTCAAAACCTTGTCGTCTATATGCAATCCCCTAATCCGCTACCTGTGATGGCGAATGATCGCGAGCTTTGCCCTCGAAACCAACGCAGAGGTTGCAAGAAATATCGGCAAAAAAAAACATATGGAAGAAACGTCCTCTCTAAAACTCTTTGCTGATATCTACATCGGAGTGGCGTACTGGTGCTTTCAGTGCATCGAGAGACACCTGACCATCGATCACGATAACCGACCCTCCAGTTTACCCGAACCTTGATCCCCCTTGAAGATAAACGCCTGCTCTACCAGACATCCAACTTTGGAGTCTTTGAAATAGGGGTCTCATAATCCTAGGCCAAATTCGCTATAAATTCCTTCGCGCTGATTGCGTAGCGTTCCCCAAAATCCTGAAGAAAACTATAAAGACGACCAATTTGGAAGTTGCTGGTATTTTTGGGAGCGCCATAGCTGTAGTGAATACTACTCAGAATTGAACTTGATTTCTGAAAAGTAATTCTGGATTGCCTTCTAAACAATCTGTTGTATCAAATTTTGCCCGCCCTGTAACTTCAGAACTCAGCAATCCTATGTATGTGAAAGTTTTGGTTCCTTCCCTTTCTCCTTCAAAATCTTTCCACCAGGTGAATGTATCAGATATCTGCCTTTTAGGACCCTGAACTTCATTAATAGCAATATTACTAACGCACAACGCACGGGGTCATTTATTTAGAACGGAAAGGGCATCTGCGATGGATGACTAAGACCGACCGCAGTTTAAAGAGATGATAAGTGTGATGAGAAGTGAGTGGGTGAGCGCGTAAGTGCGTCACATTTTTTCCACCCACCACTCGATTGAAAAAGTGACCACGGGGTGGCTGTGGATATTAATAGGCTATAAAAAGGTACCAGAAGGCTTTTAGCGATAAAGATCGGTCGTAGTACGACAGAGTTTGGTAGCCATTAGT